AAATGGCTTACCTTATTCCATACGTGTGTTGCTTGCTCCTGGTGTCGTTATTTTACCGATTTCACTTGATTTAATCCTTTTTTTTAATCCTGGTATTCTCTCCTTAAAGAGAAATCGGCTTGGTAACCTCGTCATGTTGGCAAACCAAGACTCGCCGGGGTACTAAACCTGAGGGGACCCCGGGTTTTACAAGAAGTTTTGTTGACAAGTTGAGGTCTAGTACCCCCGTGAGTCTTGGTTTGCCAACATGACGAGGTTACCAAGCCGATTTCAACGATCGTTGTGTCGTACTTAAAAAGGACTCGGATGTCTACAAACGTTTTAACGTTTCACCGAGGACTCGAAGAGCCGCCTGGCGTCGATCGCAGGGCTGAGATTGTGTGGCTAGAGAATCGAAATGAAAGGTCAAGCTTTGCCCTTGAATTCTGCGGTGGATTTGTGGCCGTGGGTACATTTTAGCTCGGGATGTTTTACTTCGTTCGGGAGGCTGTCTGGACAGAAGTGTTCGGCCTTGTCTTCTCGTTAAGAAGAGAATACCAGGATTTAAAAAAACCGATTAAATCAAGTGAACCGCTCACTACTGAGTAAGATGCGTGGAGATTTACGGAATGAGCTGTCGTGCTTGTGTAGCTATTCCAGCGGTGAAACACCTCCGAGGACATATCAACTTTACTGCGTTTGATAGGAATTACGAAAGTAATATCAGGTAAAAGGTATTTTCTGTCCGCGGTAGTTTTACATCGGGAATAATTCGTGGCCAGTATTTGCCCTATCTCGATATTTAGCAAGTTGTCCCAGCCGAAGCCAGGAAGGACCTCGAAACGGTTGACGTCGGGGAAAAAGAAGCAGTTTTTAGGATCCCCGACCAGATATTGGTTCCACAATAACGGTGGCGGCCGAGCAGACTTGGTGTCCGTTTCTGGTGGTGTAGCAGTGTAAACGGACCTCGTTGTAAGTGAGGTTAAAGTAGAAATGGCGAACAGACGCACTAATAACAGAGCCATGAAAATCCAGTCTGTTAAAGCTCTCGCGACGATAAGATCTTGAGCTAATTACGAAATCAATGCACAGAATGTGATGCGCTGAAACTGAGACACGACTTTGAACATGCCAAGTTGAAAAACATCGTGCAGCTTTAGTTCCTAGCTGTTCATTGCTTGAGTGAAGTAGACACCCCTTGGCGTGAACAATTGAATTCGTATGCAACTGCAATGTATCTTTTTCTGCTAGGGGCTTGGAAAAGTCGTTCATCCTTTTTGGGATACGCTTGTGAACCTTAAATTACAGTAATTCTCAGTTTTTTGGTGACAAACGCAGCCGATGAATTAGTATCTTCTCTTCACCAGCCGTAGAAAATTCAGAGAAGGTACTGTTTTTTTCTCTTTTTAAAGTTTCTTCCCCCCAAAGTTCGCTCTACAAATAGTGAGGGTTTGGAGGGTAAGAATTTAACAATTTCAGTCGTAAGCTACAGGTTTTCTCAGTTGTCTCCAACAGCATTTATAAAATTTAGTGCCCCTTTCAAGAATGGCCCGTCTAATCTTCAAGGGGTTCCCGAGTAAGCGGGGTCTGGGCACGTCACGCTAAATAATGGTCACGTAATGAAATCTTGCATGACGAGCGCAAACCGGGGTTACGACATGTGTGACATGTGTCACGACATGTGTGACCCCGCAAACCGGGGGTCACGACATGTGTGGTGGAGACAGAGGACGGTTTAGACAAAAATTATGCACGCAGAATGTTCCAAAAGTAACTCAGTATTCTATTTTGACACGTTTTAATAGACAATACCTAAGTCACTTGTTACTTTTAGCTACTTCGGCAGCTATATGCTTGTTCACCAAACTTTTACGTGTCATGAAAGACATGGCTAATACCCTCTTTCTCGTTTTCCTTTTTTGATTTTTTTTTTTCGCTTTTTCCATAATAGTCTGCTCTATTTAACACCTCTTTAATGATAATTTATCGACCAATTCCTGATCAGTGTTATACTTCTTAAAAACCCATAGCATTATCAAGTTATCGTTGAGAGCGAAAATGTCACAATTGTTATAACGAATCCCTCTAAAGATACTTTACTTTTTGCTTCTATTCCTATACATCACAGCCGTAAGATTCCAGGTGCAAGAAGCCAACCCTGTCTTTGAATGAAGTTACCTTGTCCTTCCTTCCTTCCTTCCTTCCTTCCTTACTTTGAAGATGGTGAGAATACGCAAACGGTTCTGGCAGCTATCTAATCACTTACTTAGATTGGACGAAAAAGGTGCGACAATCCACACGTCGAGGTAAAAAAGTTATGCGGCAGAGTGACAGTTATAATTGTTTGTGCTGGCTGATTTTGACTGGGGGCCTCCTCTGTTGTCAGTTCGGTGAAGCTTCGCTCGAGATGTCTTTTTGCGCGCGAGCATCGTTTTAGCGAGTGTGCAGTCAATTCAGGAAGCCCACCGTATTTAGCAAAAAAAACTTTATGAACGTCCGACCAACTGTAATAGATTGTACCTCTCTCATTTCGTACTTCGCGCACACCGGAGAAATCTCCTGCGGCTAAATTCCAAGCTCGCTGAATTCGCCCGAGGGGTAGCTCGCTCACTTTGATCCGCAGAAACTTCTCTCTGTGATTCCTGATCCATGATGGCAGCTCCGGCGCGCTGGTATTCAGTGTGATCCAAGTCCACAGCCATCCGGGTAGATACCCGTATTTTCCCGACGAGTAAAATCTCTCAGATAAATAAATCTTAGTCAAAGTGCGAGACATTGAAACCAGCCGGTAGATATCGTAAAAGGACTTAAAAGGGCGTTTCATTCGAAGATCCAATTCGAAGTCTCTTCGAAGGCGTTCCTTCCACAAAGGGTCGCTAAATCTGATACCATCACGGAGGCGTCTACAAGATTGACTAAGTCGTATAACTGATCTAGCGTCCATGTAGGTCGAAACGTATAAAAGGATTTCATTACTCAGACTCGTGATGTAGCAATTTCTTTCTTCAGCTTCCTCTCCGAGTGGTGGGACTTCCTCGCTTGTTGGCGTCTTACGTCGAAAAGAAGACGCCATAAAATTGGAAGAAAGGCTTGTCACGCAGGTGGCAAAGTTGCTCTTCGCCTGAGCGGTTTGATTTCCTAATCCTTAGAAACAATTTACTTTGTACATGTCACAAGATCTCGCCTGACGATTCATTCTCATTGGATGGCATTTACTGACATAATGAACTCAAATTGTTTTATATTGTTATCGACTGGTAATGAAATAATTTCTGTGACGTTGTAGCTCAATTAAAGACTGAAAATACCCAAAGAATTTCAATATACTTTTTCGGTGAGTGCATTAATCTAATCATAATTCACAACAGGTGTAACAGTAGTTGACCAGAGTTCTGCTGAAGTACTCTTCCTAATTAGCGTGCGCGCGCAGGGCTAGTGATACTATTATGACGAAGTTGTTTAGCAGACAAAAGTCGCCGTCAAACAACTAACAACAGAATGGCAGGCCCATCCAAACCTTCTGTTCAGGGAGGAGCTATCATTGCCAAGAACTATCACCTCCTAGGAAAGATTGGCGAGGGATCTTTTGGAGTTATATTTTTGGGAAAGAATATCGAAAATAGAGAACAAGTGGCGATAAAAATCGAGGCCAAGGTATCTAGCCAGCCTCAAACGCTACTAGAGGAAGCGCGTTTGCTAAAGGCGTTGCACTCCACAAGCAAAGACGGGATTGTGGTAGGCATAAAATTGATTTTTGTCATTTACACTGGCGCAAAAATCCTCACTAAAGGAGATCTTGGAGGATTGCTTTGTATAGTGCAATATGGAAAGTTCTAAGAGAAAAAGCGCAAAATTACAGATCATTATTTGTAACGATATTAAGATTTTTAACCGTGCTTTATTATGACGACCTGGACCGGGTTGTTCGAAAGGGGTTTAACGTTAATCTGGGATTAAAAGTTAACCTTAGCTTTAATTTTTCGTATAGGAGAGCGCGCATAAGAGCCAAGGCTTTGTTGGATCTTCTCAATATGACTCGAAACTAACTGGAAAAAATACAGAAAAAAGTCCCTTTCCAGAGCTGTTAATTGAGAGTCAATTAAAAATTTTCCCTGACTCCGGGTTAGATTAATTGTGTTTGGAATAACCAGATCCAGAAGGGTAAAATAAGTTTCTGGACTTCTCCATTAAATTTTAATTGTCCCTTGCCCACGCCTTCACTTCAACATAGCATATATAAGCAGCGTTGAGTTCCAAATGGAAATTGAAAAAAAACTTGCCGTCGCGGTTTCCTTTCGCAGACGACAAAATTTTGGTGATTTCACGATGTTCTTTTGCGGAGGACGGTTAAGAAATCTACAAAATTCTGTTTAAAATGCACGTTCTGGCTTTTCGTCTGCCAGTTAGATCTTTCATTTTGCCACGTCTTAGTTGCCGTTCCCGTCGTGCTTTGCTAAAGGTCATTTTTGTCGGCTTCCAAGATGGCAAATACATCTTGGCAATTAGCAACATTGGAAAGGGGATAAGGAGGAAAGAATATCATAGATGTTGTGTCTTGACTAATTATGTCTGGGAGTGTAATAAGCGTTCGAAGACTGATCGTATTTCACTTTTGAGACTTCTAAGAGCAGCGTGGGTCTTGATTGCAGAAAAACAAAATATGATCTTCTCAAAACTCGACCAAAAAGTAAAGTTCAAAGGTCGCTTTGAAATCAAGCGAGACGAGGTGCTCATCAAAATTCTTCTTCACTTTCCCTAGGAGGGCTTTCCACGGGTACTATGGTACGGAAAAGAGTCAAATAATAACATTTTAGTCGTGGAACTGCTTGGAGCTAACCTGGATCAGCTGCTGCATAAGGTATCAGGGAAGTTTAGTTTAAAGACTGTGGTACAACTAGCTAATCAGATGATCGACAGGATCAAGTTTGTTCACGTGAACGACTATATACACCGCGATATCAAGCCGGAGAATTTTTTGATGGGTCGAAGAAACAAAATGGATAAGGTAAGCGATCGTCCAGAGAGATGCGTACAATTCTCTCATCTGCGGGCACGTATTGTTTTAACATTGCGAACGGAATACAATGGGTGCCGGGAAATGGGAGAATCTGGGGGAACCAAAGGGAGGAGGGTGGGGGGTGGGGTTGTAATATAACGAATATCACCTTGAAGCCGAATATTTGTACACCTGTAAATAATAATAATAATAATAATGATAATAATAATAATAATTTAATATTTATACTGCGCAAATTGACATGTGGATATAATCAAATGCGCATCACAACACTTTTCGGGGGACTTTGTCCGGACTGCATCAGCAGTTTACAAACAATCGAAGGAAACTTATTTAAAGATGCCCCCTTCCCCCCAATTCCCAGTAAACAGGCCGGACCACATCACAGTAATCTCGTGAGTGGGTTCTTTAACGTCCCCTGCCTAACCAAATTAACTAATTACTAGATCCAGGAGACGGAACATACGGTTCATTCGTCCTTATCCGAGAAGACTAGAATGTCTATCCATTTCTTGATATTATAGAAAGGTAGCGCATTCTGCTCAGTTATTTTAAGACATTGAGTGTTGGTCCGGCCGGGGCTCAAACCAAAGACCTCGAGCTCCCGCACACCAGTCCAGCGCTCTACAGTTACATAGACTTTCTCATAGCCGTTCGCTTGGTTTTCTGTTCTGGTGAGGTAGGACCCGCACGAACGAATTTTATCCCTTGCAGCGCGACAAAATTACAAGAGGAATTTTCTTCCTGTAGTTTTATTTAATCAGAAGCAGCCTTATCAAACTGCATCTTAATCAAACAGATGACGCGCGCAAGATCTTGAAACATGAAAACCTTTTCTCTATCGAAGCTCCTCGCCTAATTGCACCTTGTTCGGGTACCTCAGCTCTTTCGGCTTTCGTCAAGCGCTTTATTCCGACAGAGCTTTGAAAATTGCTTCCTAGACTTCCTTTTGGTCCAGAAAAGTTAGCCCTAACTTGAAAAATTTTCTTTGTCAGCGTTTCGTTGCGTTCCGAGAAGTTTCGGCAAATAGTTCCCAATTCTTTGTCTCGCAATAAAACATCTCCGAGAAGAAGCTCCAGATTTTGAAGTATGGTCTTCTGTTTCCCTGAAAACAACTTTCTCCGTAACGCCGGATTTTCTACCAATTTGCCACATTGTAGGCAAATGTTTTCCGGTACAGCAACCCGAATAAAAGTTTTAGTTGGTGTAGTTTCCTCCGCCATTACCAAACCATTGATCAATTTCGTGAGGTGCGAAAAGTATTTTGACAGTTTGACAGGCAGCGCTTGCAGAGGTTCGCGCCAAAATGACGTCACGTGATGCGAAACTCTGCAAGGGAAACAAGTCGCGCTTTCGCTCGCTCGGCTCGGCTGGGCTCGCTCGCGCTTCGCGCTCACTGTCGCGCTACGCGCTCAAAAGCGCGACTTGTGAGCAAGTCTAACAGTTACAATGCAATACAAACAAACGTGCATGAACAACATAGACAAAAATGAATAAATTGAATGAATTAAAAACATGACATCAAACATGATATTAAGAAACTTTTATAAATGAGATCAACATCCTATACATTGTTTAAATTTCCATAATTTTTAATTTTTTTTCATATTGTTCAAGTCGTTTAGTTCATTTGAATGGGTTTTTGCCTTGTCCTTTCTCCTTTCTCTATTATTTATCGCCTGTTGACTTCTCTTCATTAATGCACCATGGTAACTTGTAATAATTTTTTTTTCGACAGGCACAATCGTAACCGTGTTATTTGTAGCAAAACTGGCGTTTTAGAACTGACAAGTAACTCTTTGTTTGCTTAAATAGTAGCGCAAGTGACCATCAACTTTCAGCTTGCGGTATTGAGAATTAAGATTGTACTGTCGGCGTAATATCTTAAAAAGAAAAACAAAATGTCTGAAATCGTGCTATCGTCTGTGAAATAGTGACACTGCCCGTTAGCACTTCCTTCCTTAATTAAAATGCTTGAGTAGAAATCGTCTTCTTTAAGCGCATGCGATGTGCTTGAGCTCCGTATTTGCCGGTGAGTCAAACGCAGACTTATTACAATTTTTTTTTATTCTTTTCTTCATTTTAGGTTTACTTGATTGACTTAGGTCTCGCCAAAAGGTTCCGAGACCAACACGGTAAACACTTCCCTTTTCGACAAATGGAAAATCGGGAAATCACCGGAACAACCCGATACGCAAGCATCAATGCACATAAAGGCATCGAGCTGAGTCGAAGGGACGATTTAGAGTCTCTTGGTTACGTACTGTTGTACTTCTGCAAGGGTTCTCTACCATGGCAAGGCCTTCAAGCACGCAATGATCAAGAGAGGTATAAATTAATTACAGAAAGCAAACTATCCATTTCCGTAGAATGTCTTTGTCACGAACTTCCCGACGAATTTAGCGATTATCTCAACTATTGCAAGGGATTAAAGTACGAGGAGGAACCAAATTATGACTTCATAAAAGGCCTTTTCAAACAGCTGGCCTCAAAAATTGAAATCGAATACGATGGAGTTTTCGACTGGAGTCAGAAAGCGGCCATAAGTGATTCTTAAAGTACTGAACGATCAGAAACTCTCGAGTGAAAGAAGTACTCCTTTATGAAATGTTGGGTTCCCATTTTGAAAATTTTACTGTACGTATAGTGTCTCTCGCAGTGGATACTATGTGTATTTTTTTTTTTCAAGTGATGAAAGAAAATAAACGAATATTTGCGTCTTAGAATTGTTCAAATTAAATAACTTGTCTTTCTTAGAGGAGGTACAAATAGTAAGTTGCATGACAGAAGTATGAAGTACCTCTTAAATTTTCTCATTTTGAGTTGTTCACACCTTATTATCGACCCAACTTTTTCTTTTCCATTGACGCTTGATTTTACTTCAGATGCGAGTTTACCATGAGCGCAACGAATTCTAAACGATCAAATTGTATTCGACAAGACTTCGATATGAGCTACAGAGCAACTATTTTCAAATGAATGTCAAATCTTGGACGTGCATTGGTTTATCGGTACTGTAATTTAATATCGTGTTAAGTGTTAAATCTTACATAGAAAAGTAAATGCTCTTCTAATTTTTTTGGTGTATCGCTGAAGACGTCATCCCTGAGGACAAAAAGTGCGATGAAGCTATTAACTAAAAACCACATCTCGTAAGGAATACTTGGTAAATATGCTTGATGCGAAACTCGTTTTGAATGCGTATCTGAAAATTCGCATTCAAGAGGTGTTGCAAAAAATTACCATCTAAAGATAACCAAAGGTGTAAATGACATGCTATCAGGAAAGTAATTTATGTGCAATAATTTAATTCCACAAGAGCAAACGACTTATTCGAGAGATGTTCAATTTTTTTATTTCGCTTGTTAATCATTTGACGGAAACGAATGGAGAAAGGCATTGCATGTACGCAAGTAAAATGAAGGAAATATTCCCTTAACTCAAAATGACAAAATGTGTAAATGACAAGCTGTTAGGAAAGTAATTTATGTGCAATAATTTAATTCCACAAGTGCAAACGACTTTTTCGAGAGATGATTAATTTTTTTTAATTTCGCCTATTGACGGAAATGAATTGAGAAAGGTATTGCATGTACGCAAGTGAAATCAAAGAAGTGTTTCCCAACTCAAAGTGACGGAGATTACTATGATTAAGTTGCTATAAAATCCAGGCAAAAGCCGACAACATAATTAAAAATCGTCGCAGGATTTGAGACAGAACAGGAGATCACTGTCGCTGAAACGTGTTCCAATCGTGTGAAAAATTAACGGGTGCTTGAAGCAACAACCGCGGAAAAGTCAAAAGTAGACTAAAGTGCTCAGAAGACACAAGAGAAACTCTATATGAATTAAGAAAGCGTTGCGCGTGGATACGTTAAATCAAAGAAAATATTACCTTCGTTGTAAAAGAAGGAGATTAGGATAATTAAGTTGCTATTAAAATCCATGCAAAAGCCAAAACGTTATTAAAATCAGCTCGGAACTTGAAGTACTACAAGGGATCGCTGGTTCAGACATGTAAGTCAATGGTGTATAAAGTAAACGCTTGGTTACATTACAATAACTGTAGCAAAGTCAACAACAGATAATTGAGCCAAAAACGCCGTAAGGTTAAAAAAGAAACAGTGTATTTAAGCTATTTACATGGGATCACTTTTGAAAGTTTGTATTCTCTCGATTATTAATGGATTTGCGTCAATCGCAGGAACGATGGGAAACATCCTGGTCTGTTTCGTTCTCTACCGAAACGAGGAATTACAAACAGGTGTGAACTATTTCATCCTTAACCTAAGCGTGGCGGATTTAACAGTGTGCACCGTCGCTCAGCCGATGTATGTTTATTATTTAAACCAGGAGTGGAACACCAGGAATTTTGCAACTTTCAAGCTTGTCTCGTACATTGCTTTGCATTTTTCCTTCTCAAATCTGCTGCTACTCACGGTCAATCGACTATTCGCTGTCCTGTATTCTTTCCGATATGGGACAGTTATGCGTGGTAAAAATGTAGCTGTGATAGTGGGCATAGCGTGGGGATTTTCTGCTGTCTTAGCGATCGTGCTTGCAGAATCTCCCATTCAAGGACTAGCACCATACTTTCACCTGGCAATGCTGCTCACTTTTCTTACAATGTACTTGAAAATTTTCTGTATTGCTCAGAAGAAGCGCCGCCAGATTTTCTCTCAGTTAGAGTCTGTTTCCTATAACTACAGAGTTGCCAAGGTTGCACAAGATTACCTGACGACGCGCACGTTGGCGATTCTAATTTGCGTATCTGTGATCCTTTTTCTACCCGATTTATCTCTCCAACTTGCAGGAAGCGACGACTACACAAGATTTTACTGGTCTTTCACGACAATGTTTTTAAGTTCTTTTCTAAATCCTTGTGTGTATGTTTGGAGAAGCGGAAAGTTTCGGTTGGCGCTGTTCAGGACGTTTGGTTTGTCTCGAGCGAAAAGTAGACTTGTTAGGCGTAAACAGATTAAAAGAGTGAAATTCACAGATGGCGCATTCGGCTCATTGAAAGTTATAGACCTAGAAGCACTGGAGTACAATTGAATT